TATTCAGATTTTTTTTAGAACAAACATCACAAATATTCTGTACTTATAGTACTTATAATTTTGAATAATAAAAAAAAATTTTAAATATTTAATTTAACCTTTTTTTGCCTAACATTATTATTGTTTAAGTAAGTATAATATATCAACTACAAACTAGAATAATATTATACTAATTAAGATTTTATGAATGTTTTTTTTTTTCTTATAAACATCGGCCACAAAGGCCATTAGTTACAGTTATTTAAACATACATTTTTTTTTTAGATTTAAATGAATATTTTGAAAGCATCAATTACAATAGATAAATAAATTAAAATATTTCAAAAATAGTTTTCCGGATTTTAATTTTATAATTACAAATGAACGTCAATATGATCGTTTTTCATAATTTTTTGGAATAATTATGTAAATAAACAATGAATACATTTTACTTTAAAATAAAAAAAAAAAGTTTATGAAAACTTAGTTTTATTATAATATTTTGGTTTTAAATAGTATTAATTAATTTTTGTTGATATGAATATTTGTTTGGAAGTTTTTTTTAACCATATTTTTAATTATTTTATCCAAAAATTTGAATAGTATCGACGTAACGCCAAAACAATGTCTTTATTCAAGTATAAAATAAAATTAAATATGGCTTCACAATCAATCTATTAATCGTTTTATAAAATAAAATAAAAGTAATTGAATACAATATTATAATTAAATAATTTATTTCGTAATCTAACAATCTATTGTTTTGAAATATAATTTATCAACCAATTAAACTATATTTTTTAGTTTTTTCATAATTTAAGATATATTAAATTACTTAACAGAGAAAAGTTTCTTTCATAAACTTGATAATGTGTATATTATTATATTAACTGCTTATGTTGAAGGTGCTAGGATTTCTGGAAATTGAAATTAGTGTCTTAAATTCGAAATATTGCTGTTATACAAAAATTATGTGTTGACTCAGATTGTAAGAAGGGTCAATAGATGCAACAAAAGTTGAACAATGAGATAGATCTCCCTTGGCTATGGTCGTGGATACCGTTTGTGTGAGGGTAGGGGGTTCAGAACCCTCATAACATGGAAAGTATGTAAATCTAAATACAAATATTTAAAGCTATACCACTATATTTAAAGTATTTTATTTTACTATGATGACCTTTTCCCTCATTGCTATATTCTTGTCTGTGGTATTGTCCTTGACTATGAGGTGATATGTGAGTGTAGCCTATTTGAAAACTGTTGATTATATGATATCATTTTTTATAGAAGATACGACTAGTTTGTGCCATAGTAAGATAGCATAATTATGCGCAATTTGGAAATGTGACGTTAGGAAGGCTTATTACCCCCGAAAATAATTCAAAAAGTTTCCCTTTCCTTCCAAGATATTTATGATGAACAACATCGTTTATATTATTACATAATATAATTTTTTTTCAATATCATTAAAATCTGATCAGTTGTCACCAGAGCTGCTATAAACTAAAAATATTGTAATTATCTGTTGGTAACTAATTATATTTATCATAAAAAAAATATAAAATTGATTAAAACTTATGCGGAGTTCATTGTAATATTATTTGTTTTTTCTCACTGAACCGTACGCAACATATTATACATTGAAAAATCAATTTTGTTGTGTAAGCTGTAATATTTAAGTATATTGATCTATTATTTTATCACATTAAGACTTTTAAGAACATTATCTGTGTTTAAATTTTGGATTTCTCAAGATATTTTAGAGTTTATGCGAGTTATGGGTGCGTATAAAACATTACAATTTAAAAATGTACATTGCATCATAGAAAAATTGCACTTAAATGTCTGTTTGGTGTACATTTAATTAGAATCTCCTCTGAGGAAAAAAAATGATCCCTCCAAGTTCATTATTTTAGATTCTGAGCGGAACGATGAATGTATTGATTTTACCATGATGTGTGTTTTTTTTTTGTGTCTGTCATCACGTTTCGGGTCAGTAAAAGTGCTTCGACTTTTGACTTCAGTACCTTGTTCGATCAGAAAATGAATCTAGTTGGTACTTTGAGGGTTCAAAAGTAAAAAATTCTAAATACTTTTTTAAATAATCTAGAGAAAAACAAACTAAAAATTAAGGGCAAAACGGGAAATTTTACGCACTATCAGTTTTCGACAAAATCGATTTTGGTTTTTGATGTAACTTTAAAACAGATGACCATAGATATATGAAATTTTCACCGAATGTTTATATAAGTATATTCTATCCACCATGCAATTTTCAAAAATGTCCGATTTAAGTTGAACTATTCATAGGCATTTGGAATTTTCGATCAGTATTAGTTTTTTTAAAATTAATATCGATAAAAATTTATTTGTTAGGCAGAAAAGCTTGAAAATTAAATGCAAGGCTCCTAACATATTTTTACAATAGCAGTTGAAAAATAAAATAAATTCATAGTCACAATTTTTTTTTTTATAAGCATTAAAAGTTTGAATTTTGACAAAATACGTAAAAATCACAAAAATTCACAAATTATTTTAAGCTAGAAATTCATAAAAAATTTTCTTTTTAAA